TACTTGCACAAAGTCACCGTCAGTTAACTTTATGCACCGTAAAATGTCGTATTTCTATTAATGTATTCTGCGAGACATGGAATGAATCGTGTTAAAAACTTAACGTTTTACAAACATAAATTTCACGCAGACAAACACCCAGATGCGAAACAACTATGACGCCGAAACCAATACTTTGGCAACTGTGCCACGAAGTCATCAGTGTGTCAGTCAGTTCACTTCATTCATTATAGTGTTTCTTCATTCAGGAGTTAAGCATGCCTTTCCTTTTAAATTCAAACATGATTCGGTTATACGAATGAAACTTAATTGTTTTACTTTATAGCTGTATCTATTAATTTTATTAGATTCCAATAATAAGATATTTTAAGGAAATATTTTATAACCACCACACCCACTAAGGTTTAATTTATTGTCTTTAGGGCTAATCTCTGCACTCAAAATTTACCACAAATTTCACGATGAAACTTTTATATTGTAATTTTTTGTTCATGTTGATTCGAACCTGCGTTTTCTGGTTTTGCGCTAAGACGCTTTACCAACTAAGCGACCGAAGACCACATGGTTTGAAAGTCTCGACATCTCTCTAAGTTGTTTCTATTATCAGTGGTTTATTTATACCGGTGGTAGGGCCACGCAGCAGCCTCGGCTGATGCACGAATGGGCCGGCCTGTCCGGGTAAGTACCACGACCTCACAGAAGACCAGCGTAAAGTGGAAGTATGACAAATACTTCCGCGTTTCGTCTGGTGAGTGAGGTAGCCGGACTCAGGAGCCCAATTTTCAAAATTTTGTCAACGCATCTGTAACCCTCGGGTGTAGCAGATATCCATGGGCTGCGGTATTCACTTACCATGAAGTGTCTGTGTCTGCTCGTTTGGCAACTTTTCACATAAAAAAAAATATTTTATTGCGTATACCATAAACCCTTCTCACTGGTCACCATCCTCTGTAATACGGTTGCCTGGAAGAAAACGCTACTAAGCGATAAGACCGCCAATTGTACCTAGTATTGTTTATTACTTTTGTTATTTTGCCTGGTGTAGAATAAAGCGTATTTCATCCATTTCACTCATTCATTCGTCACTCAACATATTCGGCTGTGCACGAAGCGATCGGGAAAGCAAGTACCCCGGTCTCACAGAAGACCGGCGTGAAGCTGAAATAATAAATTTTAACATTTCATCTGCCTATCACCAGACAGAGGTAGCCGGGGCCCACTTTTTTAAATGCTGTCACCGCATCCACAAGCCCTCAGGTGTAGTGTGTCCATGGGCGGTGGTATTCACCATATAAGATGAACCAATTGCTCGCTTGACAACTTTCATATAAAAAAATAAAGAAATTAATAAAGTAATTAGATGAATAAGGCTATCAAAACTAAATTCTTACGTCTGTAAGTCCTTACTACAAAAACACTTATCTTCTGTTTTTACATTCAAAAATGTAGAATTTTCAAAATCATAAAGGTGCAAGCGAGTGTGGTCTCTGAGCAAGAAAGATATTTAGACATACGAGTTGCATTTTGAATTTTGCAACAATATCTAACTTTGCTCACCCTATGGTTAAGAAGGTTACTCACATTATTTGTGTTACCGAAAATTAATTCGTTGTCCAAAAGCGTTTTAGTTTCGAATAATCAATCAGCTTTGTGTACCTTCCCTGTCAAAGTTCCATTTACATAGGCTTTGAAGTTCTGATCCACGATCCTGCATTCAGAACACGAATGGCTTTTAATTAAACAAGTTGTTACTCGGTTAAATATAGGAAGTGCTTTTACTATCATGACCATTCAATTATTGTATTGTTATCCACGCTCTTAATATCAGATATACAGCGTGTCTTTACCATCGCGATAATAAATGAACACACATATAGAGGATAACTTTTTAAAATTGTATTAAACATTTACATACTTTAATCATCGAGTTATCAAATTTTCCAAAACAAAGATTTTTAGAACACCTTACGTAAACTTTAATGTAAAGTTCATTTGTAAAGTTCACAAAGCATATGAATGGGTTGAATGAATTTAAAGGAGACAAAACATACTGTTAGGAGAGGCTTGTAATGCGGCGCTGTGGCAACGAATGAAAAATTCTCTGAATGTATGAATCAGTCAGTTGTTGTTGTATAGGATGTTACAAATTTTGTTTCTTTTTTACTTAATTAGTTTGTTTGAAAAATATTTTTTTTTAATTATGGATTTTTTTAACGTTAATATTTTTTTTTTTAGACGTGTGTTCATTTATTGTGTATTGTATTCATAGTTTTATATACTTACTAGCGGCCCCAATAGACGTTATAAATGCGACTTAAATCCGACAACTGATAAATAAAAATAAAAAAAACGAATTGTGAATCGAACCTAATCTCGAATCGACACACAAAAAATTTCATTAAAATCGGTCCAGCCGTTTAGGAGGAGTTCAGTGACATACACACGCACGGAAGAATTATATATGTAAAGAAGATATGCGAGTCTCACAATCTTTTACTCGAGAATTAGCGTTTTTAATTTGCGGTTGCGTCACAAACCATAATTCTGTTGAAAATACCTATGGTAATATTAGGTTTGCCGGCCTCAATTAAGGATATCACTTGATATAGCCATGCAATGGGCCACGTCGCTGGTATTAGAATAATCAATGAATGTATGGCTTTATCCATGTCGGGTATATGAACTTTACATATTAACAGATTGTTATTTATTAGTTTGTTATTTATTATTGGCTAAATGGGTTCTATTTATACAGTCGTTAATAAGATTAACTCATACATACACATTCAGCTCACAAATTTCCATTTTCCTCGAAAAATAAAATCTTTCCCCTCTTCTGCTTATTAACGTTTACGATTTTATTTTCACATGTATAGTGGATGCAAGTGAGTGAAAACCTATGCTCTTGAATTTATCACAGTATTGAATCACGTTGAATCGAAAGAGGTCAGAGAATGAATATTAACTATGAACGAGTATATATACACAGAAATGTCAGCGGCTTACAAAGTTACCAAACCTAGCTTAGATTAGCTATACGGCAACAAGAAGTATTATAATCAATAAATAGGTCCAATAATAGGTAACAAGTTGAACTAAAAATATTATGATAAATTATAAAATATTATGTTGAATTAACTATTATTTCTTGTTTTTAAAACTTACATAACGTTCTCGTCTTCTAACTGCTTTGTGTGTTTAAAGTGAGTTAGTTTTTTAATTAAGCCATATAATTTTTATTTTTATTGTCTGCTTCAACTTACATTTATCTACGTAATTGAAGCTACGTCCACGTCAGTGATGTGTACTACACATTACCTCGGGTGAAGTATTGTATTGTATTGGATTGGTTTATCACATAAGGAATTTCGAGTCCCACATTCGGCAAAATTCAAGGGACGGCCCCGACAATAAATGACATCAACTCCGAGCTCCACGATTGAATTCACGTCCAACACGGGTCGAACAATTACTCATGTCATTAATCATTCAATTCAGATTACACGCAATATTTGCCGCAGCTGAGGAACCAAACATTTGTGTGGGATCGAATCACGCAGTTGTAGTCTATTACTATAGACTTTTACCTATGCTATTGAGATATGTCCATATAATTATGTTTATGACGAAGATTAAGACTTTTTGAAAAACATAGAAACATCTGATCTTTTATAATTATAACTCTCTTTTTAATGCTGATTTTAGTACTTATGACTTTTCTTACTGAAGACATTTAGTAGACATTTGATATCCTGATTTTTTTCTAATATGGTAGTACATTGAAATAGGTTTCTTTAGAGAAACTAGATTTCATGAAAGCCGTTTTATTTGTTGGATGTGCTTTTTTTGACTAATGGTATTATAAAAAAATAAAAGAAACCATTACAAAACATCAATTATCGTTTATTTTAAGTTTCAGTTTACTCCAAACAAAACATTTCTACGAATAACTACCGGTGTTTTCATCATACATTCACAATTTGTTCTAATGAACCAAACAAATAAATAAATATTATCTTATAACTTACAGTTAAACTAAATAATAGTTTACATTTTCTTTTACACTTTCTTACTGCAATAGAATTTAATTCTCAACATCTACGAGTATCATTTAATTAAATAATTTGCAACGTTTTCTAATAAACTGAATTTCAGACTTTCATTTTATTAATCTTAACACTTAACTCTTAAAAATAGGTTTAACTAAAACGACAAAAGCAATATGTGCATTATATACAAGTTCATTAAAGCCGAAAAATGTAAATGCGAAGAAAGTCTGAAATTGGGCTCAGTAGTTTATTAAGAAAACGTGTGCCAATTATTTTTGCCTTACATTATAATAATACGTCATAACTTCAACGTTCATTTACACGATTAAAACATAGGCCTCGTGAACAATCTACTTGCATTACATACAACATAAATAATTTTTCGTATGTACATATTTACTGCATACATGTCTATTCATATTTGTATAAAAAGATAACAATAATTTTTATACAAGGCAAACAATGCGTGACTCTACCCAAAGAACTCCTCAGAGAGAGACCAACACTCTTATTTACTACACTCCTAAACAATTACTTTTCATGATTTATTATGTAATGACTAAAGTTTCTTCAAAGGCCAACTTATAAATATATTAAACTTAAAAACATGGCGATATGTTCACCACAATGTTGACACTCACAGATACATATAGAAGTTTATAATTTATCAAAAGGATTATCATTAACAAAACAAATTAACTATTCGTATTTGTCTAATGACTAAGCAAAGATCTCGTTTATATGTATTTACATATTTGCGTAACAATAAAAACATTATTCTCCTAAAATTATGCGTTTTAAGTGTCTCTCTTCACTATGCGCTATTAAAACTACCTTAACTAGATTCAGTAGAATACCCAGTTTAATAATTGATATTTAATACAGCGTGAGAAATTGTCCGTACTACGAAAAGCCCTTGTTTTGTACTTAAATAAGTCAAACAGGTTTCTAACACAAAACGATTTTCTGCTTGCCCCTTTTGAAGAGAAGTTCCTGCAACAAACAAACAGTGATTTATTGAAATTCGCCTCGTTGAATAAATTCTACAGTTTATGAAATTTTAAATTATTGATCATTTGAAATTTATGTAAAGTAAAGTAAAAGACTATCATGCATATCCCACTGCTGGGCAAAGGCTTACTCTATGCAGAGGGTATTCGGGCATAGTCTACCACACGGCCTCACTGCGGATTTGCGGACTTCGTACATCTTGGAAATATTTTTTTATTGTCATTTCGAAAATAAGCAATTTTCCGCACGACGTTTTCCTTCTTTTAAATTAACAATTTCATTGTTGGTTACTCGAGTATATTGATTTAAAAGCCCTCGGACAATGAGCTATCCCGGCCCTCAATATACGAATCTATGCATTTACTATGAATAATGTGTTTCCTCAATAAGTTGGAAAAATATATTTCCAAATATCTGCAATGTAGTCTCATTATATGCGAACATTTTCTAATTTAAAATGTATTTAATTATCTATATTTTTATAAGTAGCAAAGGGAGATATCCGGATTTTATCCACCGGTCTCCCATTGGACCTGTGCCCTAATAATTGCGATGCAAAACCTAACTATCGATAGTATAATGTATAATTCCCCTCCGATAACTTTTTGTAGAGTTCACGTGCTGTTTGTGGATATTATAAAAATGTTTTTACCGTAATTGTTATTTAAACTAGAATCAAAGTACCAAAATAAAAGACTTACAGTTAAATGCTGGGTTTCGAGGAATTTGTTTCGGTGAAATGCGATTCTTCGTCTATCAACTGCAAATTAACATTTTCACTTCTAGTGTGAAATGTCGCTGATACGGTTTTATCCTCTAAAATTATGGTTTCGGTTTCGACGCCATTTTCCTTTTTCTCACTGCCCTCTAGCATTTTCTGTTTTATCGATGGCCCTCTATTGAACGAAGAGGCCAATAAAGTTTCCTGTATTGTTTCATTGCCGTTGCACACTTTGTCAGATTTGTGTGTAGGCATTCGTCCCGAATGGTAGCTGTTTCTGACGCCTCCCGTCGATTCAAAGAAGGGCAGTACTTGTTTAAACTCCTTTCGGAAATTTTCATTCAGCCACGCGTAAAGGAATGGATTGTAGCACGTGGACGCCATTGCCATGGAGTGCGCCAAAAAGAATGAGACAAAATAATAATTCCATTCTGTCATCTGAGCGTAAAAGTCGTTAAATATGTTTATAAGGTTGAGCGGCAGCCACGAGATACCGAATATAGCGACCATAGATATAAGCATTCTGTTTGTTCGCCGCTTCCTATCACGGTCCGCCTCCTCTCTTCTTGTGTTTTTTGCACCAGGCTTGGCGCGTGCTCTATCATTAAGTCTTATACTAACGCATGTGTAGCATATGGCTATTACTAAAAATGGAATTAAAAACTGCAGTACAGTTGTAAAAACACCGAATATTTTTCTGGATTTGTCCGATGGCCAGCTCTCCTCGCAATAGGTTTTATTATTAGTTATCTGTATACCCATGAAGAGACCATATGGACACGTGACTACCAATGAAAAGAGCCATATAAAAACTATGATATAAATGCACGTATTGAGTTTCATTCGCGGATGAAACGGATAGATAATTACGAAAAATCTATCTATAGCTATAGAGGTCAGGGTTAAAGTTGATATGTAGACGCTGGTGCCTTGGGCATATGGCATTAAATGGCATAAAAGTCTCCCGAAGACCCATCTACCGAGAAACGTGTACATAGGGGTGAGGGGGACCGCAAAGACACATAGCAATATATCGGACAGAGCAAGATTAGTTATGAAGAGATTCGTCACCGTTTGCATCGCTCGGTTGCGGAAAACTACATAACAAACCAACACATTTCCAAAAACCCCTAGCACGAATATAATTGAATAGAGTATGCAGAATGCGACTTGCACAAATTTCACGTCGATTATGTCGATCGTCTTGTTAGCTTTCGGCTCATCGATGACTTCAACAGATTCCCCTGTCAAGGTTTTTAGGATCAATACCCCACCACCCAAGTAGGATGCAGATGTTCCGTTGAAATTCATAGTAGCTGTATCATAGTTGTCTACGGAAGGGGATACCGTGTTGTACGGTCCATCATCGATGAACAGCATGTTAGCCACATCGGGTCTTCTTTCTGTGTGCCGCTACTGCCCTTTCTGGAATCATCTGCAAACAAGTAAAATGTTTGTGTAACGTAGCTGTAACTGTTTCTAGACAGTATTTACTTGGTATCAAACTTACACTAGTGAATTATATTTTTTTATGAATAGTTCGTTTGTACGTTATACCTTAAATAATAGCTGCTGTACTATTTTGCTGATTAATTAAAACGACAGATTAGTTAATTTAGATTGTTACCTATCATTACAAAAGGCAATTAATTAACCCCCCTTTAACGAGATAGAAATAAATAAATAAATACATTGGCATATAGTGGATTTATACTTATGCATACAAGCCTGCTAGCCGCACTTCATACGTAAAATTAAGCCGCTAAAGGTAAACCTACTTGAAGTGAAATTCGTAAAAATTTTATTTTAAATTAAATAGAAAAAAATTTAAAAGTTTTTAAGCTATTGCATAGCTTTTATCGCGGTAGTCCCCGAGTGCCATAGTAGATTTTTTTGATTCTGTAAGATGACGAGAAATCAAATCAAGCCTTAATTATTTTATATCGGTGATAAGACAACATATGTAATGCATAACTCTAAGTAAGTGAATATTTTTCTGAGTTAGACAACACTTTGATTTACTAATGACAAATACTTATACGAGATAATTAGGCACAAGTTAAGGCATGCATTTAAAACGTTTACCGTTCACAGAAGTTTTACAATCTCATTCGTAAAATATAGTGCTTTAGAATTCAGATGAATTACGAATTAAGTATGTTGCATTAAAACAGAGAAAACCGCGATGACTGCATAGTTCACCATATTAAAGCGGATTTTTGTAAGTGATTTTTTTTTAAATTATTGATTATTTTTTGATTGCTATTAAACATTTGGGATAACTTTATTTAGTCCCATTTTACTAATTTGTAAGAATAAAATGTTTTTTTGAGTACATCGTACATTAGTTTTTAATAATATATTATTATCATAATTCTCAGTCAAATTTAAGTTCTAAGAATGAATAGACGAACTATGTTGATATTTAATATTATAATAAACCTATAAATAGATAACTCAAATTTTTGATGCAGATGTTCTGAGAAATCTATCGCAACTTAACAAAACCGGAGAGGGTTTTGAATTCCATCCACGTTCTATTCGCTGATGACGTCAATTGTATAAAGGCAATAATGAAATCCTCCGTTCGTCTTGGTGGGTCCATGCAGGTCATATAATTTTTATTAGTACCAAAAGTTTCCACACCCAAAGGGTAAAACGGGACCCTATTATTAAGACTCCGCTGTCTGCCTGTCTGTCTGTCTGTCTGTCCGTCTGTCACCAGGTGAGGTACACTCATGAACCGTGATAGTTAGTCAGGTGAAATATTCACAGATGACGTATTTCTGTTGCCGTTATATAAACGGATACTAAAACACCTAACAGAGTAAAAAATATTTAAGTTGGCCTCCCATACAACAGACATGATTCTTTTTTGCCGTTTTTATAGATAATGGTACCTTACCCTTTGTGCGCAAGTCTGACTCGCACTTGGTCGGTTTTATTCATAATAATTACAAGTCCATGCCATTGGAATGACAACGAAAATATTAAATTATACAAAAAATAAAATAAAGAAAACTATTGAATAATAACAATTTTGTTCAAATAATATTAAAAGTTACCCGAGTAATATGAATCATTTTGAGTACTTAAAATGAATTAAGCCCGATGAATGTATAGAAATGATAATTAATTAAAAAAAAATATTTTTATTAAATTGAAATTAATGTGCTTCACCGTACTACTTTTGTACACTGTGCATTCCTTTCATTGAAGCACGTCGAAATAATCCTTACTAATATTGTAAAGGAGACAGTTTGTATGTATGGATGGATGTTTGTTACTCTTTCACGAAAATACGACTGAATGGATTTTAATGAAACTATGCAATAATATAGCTTATACATCTGAATAAGACATAGGGTATAATTTATATACATATTCTTATGTATATCTGTCTTTCTATCTGAATCTTACGCCTACAGCCTATTCTACGCAGACGTAGTCGCGGGCAACAGCTAGTGATAATATATACAGCGTGTCGTTACCATTGCGACAATAAATGAACACACATATAGGGGATAACTTTTTAAAGTTGTATTAAACATTTAAATTCTTTAAACATCAATATTTACAGGGTTATTAAATTTTCCAAAACAAAGAATTTTAGAACATCCTTACCTATAAAAGCGTAACGTAAAGTTCATTTGTAAAGGTCACAAAGCATATGAATGGGTTGAATGAATTTAAAAGAGACAAAACATACTGTTAGAAGGAGAGGCTTGTAATACGACGCTGTGGCGCGAGTTGTATAGGATGTTACAAATTTTGTTTCTTTTTTACTTAATTACTTTGTTTGAAAAATATTTTTTTTAATTATGGATTTTGTTTAACATTAATATTTTTAATGATTATTGGCAAGTTGCGTTAGACGTGTGTTCATTTATTGTCGCGATGGTAACGACGCGCTGTATTGTGCGTATCTGAGTTGGAGATGCAGAAAAAATTGTCTTAGCGATTGTCGTGTCCTAATTTGTATCATCTTTAAGCAAATAGAGTCTGAACTGTGTTAGAGGGTAAGACAAATTTTGTAGAAATACTTTTTTGAACTTGTAACCCTCAAAGTGCGACGTGATTCTTAATAACCAATTTAATCTTGACCATTTTTTAAAAATTTAAACATTTACCAACAACTTCAAGTCATTTAAATAAGCTTTTATCGAATGCGTTTAATGTCTTTACGCTAAAAAATTATAACTTCATACGTGCCGTACATAAATACACACATACTTTTTATTATTAAAGTTAATTAATACACAAATATTAATAAATATGAATATCATAAAATCTATATATCAACCATAAACTTATATCTACTATTGTCAAAAATAAACTACACTACACTCTCAGCTGCGGTCACTTAGTAACTACACTAACCGTACTCAAGTAGTTACTAGACTTACTGAAGGTGGCCTGGCAACAAGAGTGGTCAAAACCGGAGACGTCGTTAAAAGGCTCTAACTTTTTGCGATACGTATAAAACAGTTTAAGCGCCATCCTTCAAGACTGCCGGAATATACAAGCGCCTCCGTTAGTGTTCAAGCAGGCGGCACTTAAATCGTAATCGCTATACGAAAACATTTGGAGTCGTAAAGAGGAAATTAATGTTGTCACAAATTAATGGGAAATGTCGTGCGAAATTCAATTTGCTTGATTACACCGGTTCTGAAGGACTTGACGGATTACATTAAATGCAGGTCACCTACGTGGTTACTCCAGATGGCCACCATTAGCGAACGGCAAAAAGCGTTCGAGTAATTTTTAACCGACGACTTAATTTAGATAATATTAATATCTCAGATTTTATAATTTTTTACCGGGAATTCTTTGTAGTTAGAAGATAAGACCTTAGATTTTATGGTCGTTAGGATTCAAATAAAGGCAAGTGGTTATTAGGTTGCCTACAAGTACTATTGTTTTTCAACCTACATTTCCTTGCCAATGCAGCGCTCGGTCAACAAGAAATATAGTTATTAAATGAACCTATTTTACGTATTTTGTCGCGTTTTAATTCTGATTTTTAATTTCCGACGTTGACTTCACGGTCAAACTAAAACAGTTCATTTAGTATTTATAAAAAATATACTTATAGTGAAAACTTTATAACACTTACCGGCACGTAATAAAATTCTACATAATAATCTTTCGCGTTTCGTCGGGAGAGTGAGGTGGCCGGAGCCCGATTTCCAAAAGGTTGTCAACACATCTGGAACCCTCGAGTGTAGCAGATGTCCATGGGCGGCGGTATTTACTTAACATTAGGTGAACCGTCTGCTCGTTTGGCAACTTTTCACATAAAATAATAATAATAATAATAATAACAATGAGCTCAATATGATCAATTTACCTTGTAAAGTGTCTACAGACGATAAGAATTTAGAATACTGACTTTTAATCTAATCAACTGAAGTTTTAAAAATTTAATAGTATAGAATTATAAGTATTTTCGTAAATAAAATGTTCTTTGTGCAAATATTAATTATTTACTACTTAGCGAGTGGATTTAAAAGACCTTTCAATATTTATTATATTTTATTAAGGCGTATATTTAAAATCATCAATCTACGAGTTGACTAAAATGTATAGGTAAAATAAGCGAATGTAATCAACGATGCTCAATCATGAGCACAAGTAGTACCCGGCTGTAATATAATGTATATCGCTTTCCAAACCGATCTTATCGGACCGGTAAAAAAGGTTCTGTAATCAGTTTCATTGCCCAATACCCCGCAATGATAACGTAAGATAAAAAAAAACATTGCATTAACGTTTTCACCGCTACATATACACACATATTTCATTTAAAGCGAGACGATGAGGTTTTACGCTGTTTCTACAACATTGGTAAATAATTAAACATTTAATATTCCCAATAAAATTTCCCATCCAGTAGACCGTGTGTCGTTTATTGTTTTCTAAACATCGGAAAATGTTTGGAGAAGCAACGAACAAAAACTTGTTTAATTGGTCGTAAATTTATTTCCGAAATGGAACAATACCGTAATATCCGTTGGCACAAAGTTGGAGACTGTTGCATACAATCCTACCATGTGTACCGCCCGAAACTTTCTTAGTTTTCCTCAAGATATATACTATGCCTATTTAAACAGAAAACGAGTAATTTGATTTCGTATCAAACAAAGCCTATTTGAATGAATGAATATTTATTTAGTTTCAACAACAAACACAGTTATGTTAACAATTAAAAGAATATGGTAACAAATGGTATGCATTTATTCGATAATAATACATAATATAATAACATTAAGCCTTACAATATCTTGTATATGTATTCACTGGAATATTTCCGGGTAGTAAATGTAGTATTTTTAAGTGAAAAATTGACAAGTGAGTAGGTGGACGAAATAAAAGTTTAT